AATATCAAATCACAAAAGAATTTCAGAGTCAGCTCCCAAACTGCCATAGCAGCCTTACAAATCATACTCCTTTCTTCCCCAGAAAAGAGGATGCCCAAGATGGACATTAACTCAACCCAAGTGTATAACTGAGGTCCTAAGAATTGGTCAATTTGATCTGCCACTCTGTAAGGTTCATCTAGTAATGGCTTAAGCTCCTTTTTTAAATTCCGGACTTCTGAACTGGTTAACAGAGCATTTACAAAGCCAATGCCCACCACTCCCCAACCTGGTGGTACCTCTTTCAAAGGGAAGAGAGTCGGGGCTAACTCTTTAGGTGTGGAGGGAGGTGGGAAATTCTGAATATATATTTTACATTGTTCTACCTCATGCTGGAGTCCTGTTAGAGGGGTATTTAGGTTGGGACGGAACAGGCTTGTGGGATAGTAATTCCCAAGAGTCAGGGTTATAAGGAGGAGAGATAACATAAGCAGAGGAAGAATTCCGAATGGGATCTGAAGTGGCAGCGGCTGCTTGAGGAGGACTGGGGACACTGAGTGGGGGAAGATAACCTCGGGGATCCCATGCACTGGACTCTTTAGACATGGGAACTGGCTTCTCTGACTTCTCATTCTGAGGTGCCAGATTGGATTCTTCCCTATTCGTTTTTAAGGGAAAAAAGGAGGACAAGTCTCTGCCTCCAACAAAGAGCATAGTCCAGTTCTTCTTGAGACACTGGACTTTTATTATTAACATATTGGATTAGAAGCTTACATCTTCATTTGACCCAAGCTTTGGCCAGATGATTGAGGGTTTGAGGATGGGTCCTTGAGTCCAAATAAAACAGCAATATTTTGTCATCTCTTGCTTTTTCTTATATTTAGTTCTTTCACTATCCTTCCAGTATTTAAACATGAGACCTAGGGGGCTATCAAGGGGAATATCCTTGTTACCATTTTTGTCCTTCTTGCTCCCTGTCTTGCCTGGGGTATTCCCCATCTTCCTAGTCTTGGGGTGAGGTCCAGTTTCCCCTACTGGAAATTTCTCACCTTTTAGGGTGAGGCCCAATTTCCCTTATTGGAAATTTCTTGCCTCCCCTACTATTGGAGGTTTGTGTAAGGTTCAATCCCCCCCAGTGGAGATGCCTCACCTCTTTTTAACCTCCAAGCCACCCCAACCAAGAATACTTCACCTCCCCCCTGCAGCTTTTCTTGCCTTGATAATACTCCAACGAAGGAGTAGTTTACTGCCATTCCCACGGCTTTTTTTTTCACCTTGGTCCCTACCACGAAGAAAATACTTTACCAGCTCCCTCAACATCTTTTTCTTGGTCTGTACACAGAGTTGCTTAGTTGCTGCAGTTTTGTAGGCCTTTTTTTTTTTTCCGTGTTGCTGAGAGGCTTGGCTTGTTCATCACATCGGGTAGGTCTCCATCCCTTGCCCAAGAGGCTGCCATAAAATGAAGCAGCAGGACACGTCTCCTCACAAAAGAGCGTCCGAGACCACCCGGAGGAGAACAGTGAATCCCAGAAAAGCCCCCAGAATTGTTGTAAGTAAAATTTCAATGCTGCGAAAGAAATAACACTCAAAAATAAATCCTCTTAGCAAGGCGGTTTTCTTCTACAGAAGGGTGTGGCCCACGGATGGAACAATGGTGACCACACATTTGGACAAGTGGGGAAAAGGGGTATTTATGCCTGACCAGGGTCGCCCCTACTGCTGTGTCATTTCCCTATTGGCTAGACTGCACAAGCTAGACTAATCCTGATTGGCTATTGGGGTCTGAGCTGGAGTGGCAGGGTGGGTGGTTTTGCAGGAAGGACGGTTACCAGCAGGTCAGAGCAGGTAGCCCGGGGTGACCTAGGTCAAAGAAGGTGACCAGAGCAGGTGAGTGGAGCAGGTGACCAGAATGAGTCAGGATGGAGCTGGGGGCCAGGGGAACAGATGTGAACTACTGGTTAGAACCGATGAAGAAGTTTACTGGAACTACAAGGAAGTTGAACTTTAAAATGAAGAACAAATAACTGAACAACATACTGATTCTCTGAAGAGAAATTTAGAACTTGTTGTAACCAATAATTCTAAAAATTAGATAACCTAGATGAAAAAATAGAAGATAATCAAGATGAAATGAAAAACCTAGACAAAATAGAAATGAAAAACACCAAAACTACCAAGACTAAATCATGGGGAAATAAAAAATATGATTAGTTTTATAACTAGTAGGATTGAATCAGTAATCAAAAAATCTCCCAACAAAGAAAAGCACTAGCTCTAATATCTTCACTGGTAAATTTTACCAAACACTTAAAGAACTAACAACAATCCTTTTCAATCATTTCTAAAAAGTTGAAGAGAAGGGAAAACTTGCTAACTCATTCTGAAGCCAGCAGTAACCTGATCCCAAAGTCAAAGACACTACCAGCTCAAAAAAAATACAACCCAATATCAACTTATTGCATAATTCTCAACAAAATACTAGCAAAATGAATTTAATACCCTATTAAAAGGATTGTACACCATGACCAAACGAAATTTATTCCTGGAGTGTAAGAATGGTTCAGCATATGAAAATCAATAAATTTGATACATCACATTAACAGAATTAAGGAGAAAAAACACATCATCACCTTAAGTGATGCAGAAACAGCACTGGACAAAATTCAACATCCTTTCATGCTAAAAATATTCAACAAACTAGGAATAGAAGGAAACTACCTCAATAAAATCAGAGCCATATATGAAAAACCCACACCAAACATTATACTCAATGGTGAAAGACTTAAAGCTTTTCATCTCTAATCAGGAACAAGGCAAGGATGTTCACTTTTGCCACATCTATTTAACATAGTACTGGAAGCTCTTGCCAGATAGCAAGCAAGATAAAGAAACAGAAAGCATCATGGTGAAACTCTGTCTTTACAAAAAATACAAAAATTAGCTGGGCATGGTGGCATGTGCCTGTGGTTCCAGCTATTCAGCTATTCAGGAGGCTGAGGTGGAAGAATCACTTAAACCCAGGAGGTCAATGCTGCAGTGAGCCATGACTGCCCCACTGCACTCCAGCCTCGGTGACAGAGCGAGACCCTATCTCAAATTTAAAAAAGAAATAGAAGGCATCTAAATTGGAAAGGCAGAATTAAATTATGTCTGTTTGCAGATGATATGATCTCAAATGTACTCAAATGTAGAAAACCCTACAGAGTCCACATACAAAAAAAAAAAAAAAAACTGTTAGAACTGATAAATTCTGCAAAGTTACAGGATACAAAATCAACACACAAAAATCAATTGTGGTTCTACATGCTAACAGCTAATAATTTGAAAAAGAATTTACAAAAACAATTTCAACTACAATCGAATTTTTAAAACTCTTAGAAATGAACTTAATCAAGAAGGTAAAAGACTTGTACAATGGAATCAACACATTGCTGAAAGAAACTAAAGGACATAAATGAAGACACATCCTATGTTCTTGGATTGGAAAACTTAATATTGTTAATATTAATATTGTTAAACTTAATATCGTCAATACTACTCAGTGATCAATAGATTCAGTGCAATCCCTGTCAAAACATGAATGACATTTTTGCAGAAATAGAAAAGCTTATTCTAAAAGTCACATGGAATCTAAAGGGACCCCGAATAGCCAAAATGATCATGAAAAAGAACAAAGCTGGAAGCATCACCTTTCCTGGTTTCCAAACTTACTACAAAGCTACAATAATTAAAACAATAGGGTACTGGCAAGAAGATTAATTGGTAAAATAGCTCAAAAAAAAATCCTCACATATATGGTCAAATGACTTCTGGGCAGTTTGCCAAGACATGTTTTGTAAAGCATTTAAAGGTCACTTATTGGCCCAGAAAATTTCAATGAATTGTCTAAGTGGTTCATGCATGAATTCCATCCCAGATGAAAGCCTGATTTACAAGTGTTGGGAAATATCAGTTAACTTTGTATATCTGTTCATAACCCTTTGGTGTCTATTTGGATTTTCGTTAATAAATTTGAAAAAGCTCTTCATATGTCTTTACCATTGACAACATAGAACACCATGTGTGAGGCAAATATTTTTGTATGTTGTTATTTTTACTTTCTCTGTGGGGTTTTTCCCCATTTTTAAAAAAACTAAAAGAATATCACATGCAGTTTTGAAATTAAGCCTAGTGAAGCACCTAACGCTGCTGAATCCTAGCACTACACTACTGCATCTTTGAGCATGGTGCTTAGCTCTCTGGGCCTTCTACTTAACAACAAAACAAGGATAGAAACAACACCTCCCACCTCAGCATCCTTCGTATCTGGGACTACAGGCGTGTGCCACCACTCCCAGATAATCTCCGTATTTTTGCGTAGAGATGGGGTTTTGCCATGTTGGCCAGGCTGGCCTTCTAAGAGATCCACCCACCTGGGCCTCCCAAAATCCTGGGATTACAGGCATCAGCCACCACGCCCAGCCTTGACTATGTTTTAAGGATGGGTCACCTGCTCTGGAAAACTGGAGAATTTATATGCAGAGTATTGCTTTCTTCCAAAGATGGCTGAATCCCATTACTAAGTAATAAGCAGCTTCCGTGTGTCTGGTCACTGGGGACATAGGTCACTGGGGACATACAAACATGACTTGCACGGGACCCCCTGCCTCCAGGGGGCGGGGACCTCTAAGGGACAATCTGGGCCCCGGGAGGTGGGTGTGACCGGGCGGGAACCGGGAGGCTCCAGGAAGCTCACCCAGGCTCCCAACCAGCGTCCCGCCCCGCTTCGGCTCCAGCTAAACGGCGCTCCCCGCCCACCGGCAGCAGCGGGCCTGGCTGCTGGCCCAGAGACTCGGAGCCCTGACTTGGGCCCGGCACGAGGAGGCGGGGATCCGAGCGGCCGAGGCTAGGACTTCGAGACCGCTGGGGCGAGTTGCGGGGCGGCGGCGGGAGGGGGCGCTGCGGAGCTCCGCGGGCGCCGCGCGGAGGAAGTGCCCTCTTGGCCGCGGCCGTCGCCGCCGGGGCCACGCTGCGGGGTTTGCCAGAGCAGCGCCGCGGGGGCCGAGATGTCGTCTCGGCCGGGGCGCGAGAACGCGGGGGCTGGAGGCGCGCGGCGGCCGCGGGAGCCGCCGGAGCAGGAGCTGCAGCGGCGTCGGGAGCAGAAGCGGCGGCGGCACGACGCGCAGCAGCTGCAGCAGCTGAAGCACCTGGAGTCCTTGTGAGTCCTGAGCTGTCGTCCGCGCGCCGCCCGTCTTCTTGGACCAAGGGCCCCGGCCGAGGGGCGCCGTGGTGGGCGCTAGGCCGGGTCCTCCGAGCCCCCGCGAGCAGGCAGGGGGACCGGGCCCAGCAGGAGCCTGGTGCGGGCGACGGACGTCGGGCGCCGCGGTCAAGGACTTCAAGTCCGTCCTCCTGGTGGGGAGCGAGGGGCGTTCAGGGAGCCAACTGCAGTTCGGCACCAAGCAGAACCTGACTTCGGAGGCCCTGAGCTTCCCTGGCTCCAAGGGGTTTCAGGAGAGTCCAGATGACCCGGGAAAGTGTGGTTTAAAGACGATTCAAATATAGGGGAGGAAAATATGGCTTCCCTCGACCCTTCTAGGTTCCGTAGCTGGGCCACAAATTAAATTGTCATAAGACAGATTAACAGGAGAAAAACTTTTAATTATGTACCCATGCACTGGAGGGCCACAAAAGTGAGAGACTGAAAGAAGGGCCAGGGAATGGGGCGTGGGCCTTTTGGGGCGTGGTGGAGACGGGGAACGGTGAGGGGGAAAATGTATGGTGAATAAAGGTTGCTTTGTTATCCAGGTTAGGCGCTCAGGCGATAAAAGTTGCGGCCGAGCAGCTCTCTTCCTGTTACAGATACATTTACTACATAAAACCTCCTTTGTAGGTGTAAATTTCTCTTTACAACAGGAGAGTCAAAAATTAATAAGAACAAAAGGGAAAAAAAGCAGAGGTATACTTTATTTTAGGCAGTTGAGGGGTAGGTGAGTAAGTTACCCTGTGTTAGTTGGTTCTGTTACTTTAGCTCAAAGTCATCAATATGCCAGGGTGGCATGTTTGGGGATGGTGTATTCTCGTCTTTTGCAGTCATTTATCAGGTGGTTTTTCCTAAATTCGAACACAAACCTCGGGTGGAAAGTTCGATCAGCAACTCTTCCAGTTCTTGTCTGATTCTAAAATTAGCTGCATCAAACCACGTTTTACGTGTGGCGTTCACTCAGTTATTCAAGAATTCGTTTATGTTTTAGGCGCTTCTAGTTACCTATGTTAAGTAATTGTTAAATTAAGTATAGCCTAAGAGCTGCCTCCTTAAATATTTTAAGTTTAGCCTAAAAGTTTCTCTATACACGGTAAACTGTAAGTGGATGTGTAAACAGACTGTTACCTACTCTGTAACCTACCTGAGTCTCAGGCAATCACAGCAGCTGATTTTCAGGCCGTCACAGGTGGTCAGCCTTTGAAACTCTGTTCAAATAAGGGAAAAGCCAGGCTGCAAGGAATCCAGCTATTTCTCTATCTCACTTTGCTTTTCTGCACCTCACTTTCCTTTTCCCGTCCATAAACGTTATCCCACCAGGTGGCAGCCTCAGAGTTGCTCTGGACCTATTCTGGTTCTGGGGGTGCCCGCTTTGAGAATAGTTCTTTGCTCAAGTAAAGTTTAATTTGTCTACTTTTTTAAAAACATAATTCATATAAGGAAAGATACTCAAAGAGTTAAAATCCTTCATAATTAACCTTCTGGGAGGTTTGATGTGAAATAAATTCCTATGTTGGGGTTTGGTCTGCTCTTTTTCCAGTGTGGCCCCAGAGCGAATGACTTTTCCCCTTAGCAGGGCAGGGGTCGCAGGATAGAGACCCTGCATTGTGTGCATCCACATTACAGGGCAGTCTTGGCCCTTTCAGGTCACTCTGTGGCACTCTTGGTCTCCCAAGGGAAGTCAGATGTTCAAAGATCTTCCCTAGCATAAGCAACCGAAGGCCTGGCCCTACCCAGCCCTCAATATATTTAGTTACAGAATGCCAGAGGATGGTTAATTTCACTTATTGGTAGCTCAGAGAGCTTTTTCACAAATAAGAGAGATTATAACCTACTTTTACAGATGAGAAAATGGAGGAACAGTGGTTAAGTTATGTGATCAAGGATACATTGACCAGCTAACCAGCAAATCTAGAGCTGAACCCAAGTGTTTTTTCCAGTTTCTGAGATTTAAAACGGAGTGAGCTGTTGAGACATTTGCTTTGGCTAGTTCAGAATCCTGTTTGAGCTTTAAATTGTATTTATACTAGAGTAAAATGTCGTTTTAAAATTCAAATAGTACTAAAAAAGCAATAGGCTGCCTGACTCCTCAGTAACCACTCAAAGTCCCTGTGTCCCTCTTCCCCCTCTCAAACCAGGCTTCTCTGTGTAAACTTTTAGGTTTTACTTCTGGGATTTAACTGTATATTTCTAAATTGTATATACTGTTTACTTTGATTCAACATCCTAGACATACCTATTAACTTCTTGTCATAGTAAGGATTTAGTTCTTTACCTACCCTTCTTGTTTCCAGTCCTCCAGTGTAGCTCCATCATAGCTGCTTTTGCTAACAAATGCTTAGTATTAACATTATTATAACTAGGCTGGGCTCCGTGGCTCATGCCTGTAATCCCAACACTTTGGGAGGTAGAGGTGGGAAGAGTGCTGAGGCAGGAGTTCTAGGCCTCCCTAGGCAACATTTATAAACCCTATCTCTGCCAAAAAAAAGAAAAAAAGAAAGACATTAGCCAGGCGTGGTGGTGCATGCCTGTGGTTCCAGCTACTTGGGAGGCTGAGGTGGGAGATCTGCTTGAACCTGGAAGGTGGAGGCTGCAGTGAGCCATGGTGGCACCACTGCACTCCAGCCTGGGCAGCAGAGTGAGATCCTATCTCAAAATCAAAACAAAAGTAATATAAGTATGAATTATTATTCACTTTTGAGCCAAGTAGTGTTCTCTGATTTATTTTGCTTTCTCTACTATTGTTAACTTTTAAGTAGTTAATAAGAGCCTTCGTTTTTTCACTTGCTTAGTTTTCTACTGCTATTTTTTTCCTCCCAAAGTCTCCAAAATCTGAGTACTATAAAGCTGAAAAGGTGCCTTCCTTACCTATCATAGGAGTCACAGCTGACACTCATCTATAACAAAAGATAGGTCAATATGGAAAAGCTTAACAAATGTATTTAATCAAAGTTTTATGTGACATGGGAACCTTTAGAAAGGAAGACCCAAAGACCCAAAGGAAACTATTTTTATGCTTAATTTGGATGAAGAATGTATAGAAGAAGTGTAGAAATATAATTGGACAAAAAAGGGTATAATGCAATGGCAATAGACGGGGAAAACTCAGCAAGGCTTGTCTATCCAGATTCTTCAGACCTCTCTATATATCATTACTTCCTCCCAGGTATGGGGCAGGACCCCTTCGGAACAAGGGGTCCTGATCTGTCAAACAAGGTAGGTCAGCTAATTTTTTTATGGCCAGGTCTGACAGAAAGACAAGGAAATATTAGGGTAATATTTGTAGGAGTTTTTAATTATTATTTTAAATATAAAGTTCCACTGAGATTTTCTTTTCTTTTTCTAAAAATATTTTTAAAAGTTATTTGTAGGTCTTCTGGCTTGCTCTGTGGGAGAGTTGTTCTAGTTTCTATGTCCCACTGTGGAAAAGAGGAATTCTGGCCTCTCTGACTGCTTTGGGATATCATTTTCTGAGCCCCAACAGTACTTTTTCCACACATAACTACATATCAGGTAATCACTCAGTTCCCTTTTATACCTAGAATCTTCATTCTTTCGTTCTTCAGTACAGTGGTTACTTTTTAGACCTGGTGTCCAACAGTGGTCTTAGCACATCCTTTACCACTCTCCTATCGTGCATCTCATTCCTGGATTCCATGTCGTCCTCTTTATATGTCTACTCTCACATTTTACCCAAGCCCATTCTTCAACTTACTATGAAAGTGCATTGGAGGTAAATTTTTTAACACCTTCCATATCTGAAGATGTCTTTAGACTATCCCAAAACTTGGTACATAATTTGACTAGGTATAAAATTACAGGTCAAAAATCATATTGGGGCTGGGTGTGGTGGCTTACGCCTGTAATCCCAGCACTTTGGGAGGCCAAGGCAAGAGGATCACTTGAAGCCTGCAGTTCGAGACCAGCCTGGGCAACAATTTAAGACCCTGTCTCTGAAGAAAATTTACAGATTAGCCAGGCACAGTGATATGGACCTGTAGTCCCAGCTACTGGGGAGGCTGAGGCAGGAGGAAAATAGTAACAATTTTCACTCAGTTTTGGCGATAGTACATCACTATCTTCTAGCTTCCAAAACTGCTAAGGAGTTTGATCCAACTCTGATTCCCTTTCTTTTATAAGTTACCTGTTCAAGTTCACCTCACCCTTAAACGTTAAGATACTGTTTTTTATTGCTGCCATCCTGAAGTTTGATGATAATGTCAGTCTTTTCTAATTGACTTTTTTTTTTTTTTTATTTAGGTTCAGGGGTACATGTGTAGGTTTGTTATATAGGTAAACTTGTGTCATGGGGGTTTGTTGTACAGATTATTTCATCACTCAGGTACTAAACCTAGTACCCAATAGTTACTTTTTCTGATCCTTACCCTCCTCCCACCCTCCAACCCTCAAGTAGGCCCCAGCGTGTTTTGTTCCCCAGCTTGTACAGTTGACTCATTTTTTCTCAACATGTCATAAATGCATTAACTGCATACATCAATTTATGTATTTCCTCTGCTCAATTTTTTTTATTCCTTCTGTTGATTTTCTGTTGCTCTGTCTCTTTGTATTTTCATTGTTCTTTGTAGATGTATCTTTTTCTCTACAGAACATATTTTTTAATTCTGTTATATATCTAAATCAAAAAGCTTTTTCTTATTCTGCAAGTTGCTTTTTATAGCATCCTGTTCTTTCATAAATGAAGTATCTTCATTCATCTATAAAGATACTCATTTTTCTTTTTTGTTGTCTTCTGTTCCCTACATTGTGTCTGTTTCTTGTTTCCCTTTTGATTGCTGTCTTCCATTTAGTCATTTTTTTCCTTCCTCTAAAGTCTGAGTATTCTTGAATCTCAACCATATTTTGTTCTGTTTTGTGTTTTTTAGAGATAAGGTCTCGTTCTGTCACCCAGGCATCATCATAACTTATTGCAGCCTTGATTTCCTGGGCTCAAGTGACCCCCCCCCCCCACCGAATCAGAATGCAGAGCAGCTGGGACTGCAGGTGCACACCACAACAGCTAGTTTTTTTACTTTTTTTTTTTGTAGAGGTGGGGTCTTACTATGTTGCCGAGGCTGGTCTGGAACTCCTGGCTTCAAGCAGTCCCCTCACTTCAGCCTCCCAAAGTGCTGGGATTTCAGGCATTAGCCACTGCCCTGGCCTCAGCTCATTTAAGAGTAGGCACTATAAAGCTCTTACCAAGGGCAGCTGTGTGTGGGAGAGAAAAAGAGAGAAGGTGTTGTTTGTTAATCAGATAGCTTCAGGGTGCTCATGCTACAGGGTACCCTTTTTATCAAGAGACTTCCAAGTGTCAGTAGTTTTTTTTCTGGGGCTCCTAAGTTCCTCTAGGGAAGGGTCTTGAGTCCCCTGCCTGGCGCCAGGGATCTCTGCCTGATTGCCAGTGTTGCTGGGTGGGAGGGGCTAACCCTGAAGGCAGGCTCCTTCAAGTGTTGGGTAGGCAGCCTCCTGGCCGTAGGAAGAAGCCTCAGGACTTGATGTCCATACTCCCAACCTGCATCTTCTGAAAACTGTTACTTCCTCCACCCCTAAAAGCCCATTGCTGTTTCCACTTTCCCAAATTTGTTGAAAACTTTCTCTGATGTTGCCTCCTTTTGGGATATCTTTGTGGCTTTTTAGTTTTTTCACTGTCATTTTTAAAGCATCTGGGGAAGGAGATAGATAAGCATGTTGGTCAGTTGGCCATGTTAAATGGGAAGCCCCACAGTGCTGTTTTACAAATCGAATTCAAATCTTTTCATCCCTAATGTGATGGAGTCTCCTTAGTCTCCACCACAGTTTTCCCTTGGTGACCCTGCCTGCCAGGGCCCTGAGGGCATTGGAGGCCTCCTCCCGTGCTCCAACACTCTCTGTCACTCAGTAGCTCCTGGGCTGCCAGGCATAACAGAGCAGCCCTTCTGGGGGCATGTGGCAGTTTCACCTCTGCCACACAGCCCCTTGGATGCAGCTGCAGCAACAATTGTGTGGAATGGACTACACTTGCATTAAGGACTCTTCTCAAAGAAAACCCGTCTCAAAAGTCAACAGAAAGAGTAATTTGAAACACTTAACAGAAGATTTCTTACTCTGTACACACTTAAGAAGATAGTGTGTCTCCCCTCATACATAATGGTAGTCTTCTTAGTCAGAGATAGTACAGTCTGAATGACTAAGTAGGGCTTTTCATATGACACAAAATAATATACCTCACTCAACTTTTTTTTTAATTTTAAGAATTAACTGCAGCTGGACACAGTGGCTCATGTGTACAATCCCAGTACTTTGGGAGGCCAAGACAGGAGGATTGCTTACTGGAGCTCGAGGCTGCAGTAAGCTATGATTGCACCACTGCACTCCAGGTTGGGTGATGGTGACTGCAAAGATAAATGCATACCTCTTAACTGTCACAGTGCAGAATCTAAACTGCACATAAACATACTTCAGTTTTCTAATCTGTGTTTAGTAGTTAAATAATACTTTGAGAAATATCTTTTTGAGTATACCACTAAGGAATTGTTCAGCCCTAGGAAACAACTTTAAACTTGTGAAACCACTTGGAAAATGAACGTTGGGAATCCCATTGCTAATAATATATTTCCAAATGTGCAGTTGCATCACACTCCTTTTCATCCTGAAAGAACACTTTTTTTTTTTTTTTTTTTTTTTTTTTCAGAATTTGGATCTCAGTTTGATTGGCCATAAGTTGTTTTTTGTATAATGTTTGTGACTCAAAAGGATTTATTTATTGGATTTTAGGATTTATAGACTTTACTGTCAAGCTCCTTCTAATCTCTATGCATAAGGTGTAGCATTAATGTTTCTAATGAATGGCTATAGTTAAACTGTATCATCTTCATAAGTTGTAGAGATTTCCATTGTTTTTGCTAAGTTAGGCCTATGTCATGCCACAGCTTTTAGAAATATTTTAAGCATCTACTTTGGGAAAGCACTGTACCACACTTACGAAGCTAATCCTATTAATACATTTGTTTACTATTTAATCTTCAGGGAACAGATATGGGATTAGTGGTATTTCTAATCCATTGTCCATCAAGTTGTTTTCTCCCACATCTTATAGAAGGGGAGAATGAAATCCTTTTTTTTTTTTTTTTTGAGATGTAGTCTCACTCTGTCTCCCAGGCTAAAGTGCAGTGGTGTGATCTCAGCTCACTGCAACTTCTACCTCCCAGGTTCAAACGATTCTCCTGCCTCAGACTCCTGAGTAGCTGGGATTACAGGTGCCCGCCACCATGCCCAGCTAATTTTAGTGTTTTTAATAGAGACGGGGTTTCACCATGTTGGCTAGGCTAGTGTTGAGCTCTTGACCTCAAGTGATCTGCCCACCTCAGCCTCCCAAAGTGCTGGGATTACAGGCGCAAGCCACTGCACCCAGCCGAATGAAAATTATTTCACTTTTCCCTTAGGCTATTCTTGACTCTCTTTTCAATATTCATTGTCTTCTAAAGGGTCCCTTAAACTATGCAGAAGAGGAACGTTCAGGTGAAGAAAACATTAAATCATTAAGTGTTTCTATATGTTGCAGCCATTCCGAAGTATTAAATTGAGAAAGCCAGGTGTCATGGTGGCATGGTGCACAACTGTAGTCCCAACTACTCAGGAGGCTGACATGGGAGGATTGCTTAAGGCCAGGGGTTTGAGACCAGCCTACGCAACACAACAAGACCCTGTCTAAAAAAAAAAAAAAAAAAAAAGTACTTCCCAAAAGGTTTAGAGTCAAGGGCAGACCTGAGCTAAAAATATTTGCATATTACTCTTTTGGGAGGCGGTACAAATCGCTTTAGGAGGCCAGGAAGTTGCTCTTTGAGTGCACAAACACCTCACCTTCAGAATTTCCTTCCCATCTCACTGCCTGTCCCATCTGCAGACTTACATGCCCAGCATTCTGGGTCTCCTCTGGGTTCAGTCCCTGGATGGAAGGCCTGGTCAGTCCCAGGTGGGTGCCACTGAGCACAGGGAGAAGCGTTTTGCTCTTCCCAGGTGATTGCTTGTCTGCAAACCAGTGGTAAAAGCTTACTGTTGCTAAAATCTGTGATTCAAAATCCTACAGCCCCCTTTTTGCAGCAACTTGATGTGTTATGTTTACATTAACATGGTTGATGGTTTTGTTTTTTGTTTTCCAGTTATGAAAAACCTCCTCCTGGGCTTATCAAGGTTGGTGTGAAGTTTGTGGTTATTCCACTAGACATACTTGTAGACTTAGTAACGTGTTACGAAAAATGGTTGCAAGACGTTTAAATCTTCTTTTACCAAAAGCCTGTTTCTTGCCTGCGGATGCCTGAGGGGTCACAATTTTTAGTTTTGTCACAAGCCTCTGCCTTTGTGGAAATTTCCTCAGCCATGTTTCCCTTCCCTGAAGAACCAGTGCAGACCCACGTGGGTTCCTTGGCCATGCCCCGCTTCTCTCTTGCTGGTGATAGCATCTCTAAGCTCCACTGCCTCCGTTTCCTGGTCAGCCTCACCCGGCTCTGCCCTTCGGTCCATCCTGCGCTGGTTTCTTGAATATGAGCAGCTCAGAGAGCAGTAAACTCTGAGGAGACCAGACAGCTCAGCAGTCCAGCTCCCCAGTGCAGGCCTCCCTTCCACAGCTCCCTGGCCACAGTACCAGGGTGTGTGTGCACGAGGGAGACTTAGAGTGGCAGGCCATGGCCAAGAAAACTCGCTGTCTCATAACTCTCAATGAAGAAAGATTCTTTAAAAACATTTGTCTATTGCAAATTTAATGTTCATAGAAACTTGAAAAAAATCCAACAGTTTAAAAACGCATTAATTGTAAATGCAGTTACTGAGTGGTAAAAATGCATATCAGAGATATAGCATGTGTGTAACTATGAAACTGACAGGGCTCTCAGGGTATAATAAGGTATTCTAGCATAGCAGGCCATTTCTAGTACTCCAGGAAGCCTGGCTTACTTTAATTATACATTTTGAGGTGGTGAAACTTTTTCTTTTAATCTTAGAATCTAATTTACATCAAAATTTGGAGCTTACCAGTCACTGCTATATAAGGACATTTTTCTGCTTCACCAGTAACTTTTCTCTAAGAACAGCTACATTGTTTTTGGCATAGTTGTTTTGGTACATTCGTTTGTTTCTTCAATCAGGTGTAACTTGTCTTTCTTTCTAGTTCTGAGGGGTAGTTAAGGGGATGCTGGCACCGGCAGCCCAGGAAAAAGCCAGGCGAGGGTAACTCTAAGGGCAGTGGGAGAGAATCCCAGCGCTCTCTTGCCTTGCTGCTTATACCTGTTCTCTTTGTTTAGGAAGATGAGACTAAGCCAGAAGACTGCATACCAGATGTACCAGGCAATGAACATGCCAGGGAATTTCTGGCTCACGCACCAACAAAAGGACTTTGGATGCCACTGGGGAAAGAAGTCAAAGTTATGCAGTGTGAGTGTGGGAGAGTTTCCCTAATCCGTGCAACTTACATGCCGCAATTTTACTACTTTTATTTAACTTGTTCTCCTCACAGCCCTCTTATAGCCAAGGCATGTTTTCCTTCTTCTAGATGAGGAAGCATCCACCCCATCCCCCACCCTCGTGCCATGTGAATACAAAGAAAGAGGGCTGTCATCTTAAGCCAAGAAGGAAGCTCTCACCATAGGCCCATCTTGCTGGGACCCTGATCTCAGATTTCCAACCTACAGAATGAATGAGAAAATCAGTTTCTGTTGTTTAGGCCACCCAGAATACAGCATCTTGTTACGTCTGCCCAAGCTGACTAAGACACTATCTTTCTGCAGGTTCCCGTAGCCTCTCTCCTGTGTTAGATCACTAATTTTCCTGTGTCTTGAGTCTCCTTTATTATTATATTCTCTCCTTAGGGTATAACAAATCCTATGGCAGTTACTTTCAAAATAAGTTTATAGGTGATAAAGATGTCAAGACCTTTACTTTTCTAGAATCATCTTTGACAGATTCTTAACTTTACCAGGATATTGAATTCTAATTTAAAAATAAGTTTCCTTGAGAATTTTGAAGGGAATGCTTCATTGCCTTGATCATTTGTTAAAAGCAAAGACAACCTGCCCTGAAACATCTGAGTTCAGTACCCATCGGTTTTTCTTCTTTGGGTGGGTTGTATTTTCCCAAAGAAGGCTCCCATGCAGAGGGAAAGCCATGCTGTGAGAGTTCTGGGAGCTAAGTGGAGGAAGTCTGGACATGTGTCCATCTGCTTTTCATTCATTCATGTGATCCTTTGTAGCTACTGCAGCAGCTTCCTTCAGACCTACCTGATGTCTCCCTGGTCTCCCTGGCCAGAGACCTTCTGTTTTACCTTTTCCACAAATTAAACAACCTTCTTTACCAGGGTCAGGGAAACAGGGTGTCACTCTGTCACCTGGGCTGTAGTACAGTGATACGATCACAGCTTACTGCAGCCTCAATCTCCCAGAATCGGGTGATCTCACCTCAGCCTCTGGGGTAGCTGGGACTACAGATGTGCACCACCAGGCTCAGCTAATTTTTTTTTTTTTTTTTATTTTTGTAGAGATGGGGTTTCACCATGTTGCCCAGGCTAGTCTCGATATCCTGGCCTCAAGTGATCCACCTGCCTCTGCCTCTCAAAGTGCTAGGATTACAGGCATAAGGCACTATGCCAGCCAATGTTAATATTTTAAGAGAACTTGTGATTTTGTTTACTTAAAACTGAGAGATTTGAACAGAGGTCGACTCATCCTGAGAAAGAAGCTATTCTGGTGTCTAAATTAGTAAATGAGAAACAGAGATACTTTATGAAACCATTTACTCTGAAAAATATACTAAATATATTTAGTATATATTGAGACACTCTTTTAAAAATTCATCTTTTGGGCTGGGCATGGTGGCTCACGCCTGTAATCCCAGCACTTTGGGAGGCCAAGGCGGGCGGAACACCTGAAGTTAGGAGTTCAAGACCAGCCTGGGCAACATGGCAAAACCCCGTCTCTAGTAAAAATAGAAAAATTCGCCAGGCATGGTGGCATGCACCTGTAATCCCAGCTACCCGGGAGGCTGAGACAGGAGAACTGCTTGAACCCAGGAGGCAGAGATTGCAGTGAGCCAAGATTGCGCCACTGCACTCCAGCATGGGCGACAGAGCAGGACTCCATCTCAAAAAAA